CGAGACGAGACGAGACGAGACGAGACGAGACGAGACGAGACGAGACGGGACGAGACGAGACGATTCCAGACGAGACGAGACGAGACGAGACGAGACGTGACGTGACGTGACGTGACGTAACATAAACTTAGCACAGCACAGCACAGCACAGGTATAAAAGTCTCCACTTGAATATTTTAAGTTAAACAAACTTATCAAGTTATTAGGTTTCCACAATTGTTACACATAGGAATTGAAATTGTTTTTTCAGATTTAAATTGAGTTAGTCGTGACCACAAAATATACAAACAAAAAAGAAATTTACATCGGAAAAAATATTTTATTACCCAAGTTAAACTAATTCATTTCAAATATGAAGACGACAAATAAACAAACAATTTCTTTGTCAGCCATCCGTTTCATTGTTCATAAAAAATATAAACAAACAAACAAAAATAAAAACAAACAAAGTATTTTAAATAAATCGTTTATTAATTATAATTAATTATTACGAGGTCGTCCTCGTTCTCGAAAGTAGCGGCTTTACTATATGAACGGTACGACTACCGTTCATAAAATAAAGTCACGTGTCAAAAATATAATACTAACTACAGGAAAGGAATTGTGATTTTGTGAAATTTGTTAACTCTCTTTATTTCGTACATATAATACTTAAACCTCTCTTCTAAAAGTTATCATTTTGCGCATCTGGCCTTATTAGCCTCCCACGTATTCGACTATGCATTAGCTCACACTGTGAAAGCCCGATTTCTGCGAAATTGAATTGTGAGAAAACTTCGGAAACGTTAATACAAGATTTTTTAATTTTTTTATAATATCAAGTGACAGAACGAACAAGTTGTACGCCTGATAGTAAGCTACACGCCTGTCCATAACAGTTGCAGTGCCACTCAGAGCTTGAAATTGCCAAGATCAGAGGCTACCACTGCGGCCGTCACCCTGAGACATAAATTGACAAGTCCTATGTGCCTGTAATTTCACCAGCACCCTTACCCTTCGAAACCAGAACACAGTAATGCTGACATTACTGCTTGGCGGCAGATATAGGTAAGGTGGCAGTACTTCCCTGGACGAACTCTTTCACAAGGAGCTCTACTGCTACTAATGAATTAAAAGATAGAGAAATAAGAAAGATTAAAATATTTTACTACAAAGCGTAGTATAAGTACCAATCTACTCGTAAAGTATGAATCATTGCAAACAATTTTAAGTCATCGATACCATGACACATATAATTGCAATTCTATAATCCGTTTTTGATTTGACCTTACACTATAATCATTGTCACAACGAGATCCGCGTACTCGGCCCCTCTAGTTCTTTCTTTAGCTGTTTAATATAAAAACCAACGGCTGACTGGTATTGGTATCAATCAAGCATCAACATTGATTGAGGAAAATGTTTACCAAAGTGAGTATGGTAATATTTATTTATTAGCACAAGTGAAGTTCACAGTTACCCCGGTTTCCCATGTGATTGCGAATGCCGATTACTCGAGCGACGACAGTGCGATGACGATTGCGCGAAAGCTGTATTGCGCGATGGCTTATTTTCATGAATATTCAGTTGCGTGAAGATATGAAAACGCTAAAGTCTAAAATCGCGATAGTTCAAAAGTTGTGGTCGATTGATTGAAATAAAAATGTTACAAATTATCAACTTCCCTTCCTATGTAAATGAAAGGAAAGCATTCCAAACTATTGGCATCTCTATTAAAACTTGCGTGAATCAAATTATCCATCGTAGGATTAACCATTCGCGCATTCCAGCTTTCAACAAATTTGTCTACATGCTGTCGTCATTAGCGCACGCTTTATAGCTTGACCGCGTCATTCTCGTAATCGGCATTCGCCATCACGTGGGAAACCCCAATTACCCAAAAGGGATACTAACCAATTCATGTTTTTCATTCAGCACAAGTAGCTATTTAGTGCTGAAATCTTTCATTTATCTAGCTTCTTTTAGAAGTTGTTTATAATACACGTAAAACACTATATTAAAGTTAAGTTTAGTACGGGATGGTTTCCTTTCCTGTACGTCTGGTGCATCCTGAGCAGCAATCAGTGAATACCTAAAGTCGGTTGGCAAGTCCTTTTCGCCATGATAACAAACTTCCATAGATCTAGGCGGTACTCCTCTAAGGCAGACAACACAATTTAAAAATCTGGGTCACTGGGTCACCAAAAACAAAGTATGGAAAGGGAGCGCAGGGCGCTGGCTGTGACGGCTCCGTGCGCAAAGTTGAATACACCGCTGACGACCACAACGGGTAAAGGACTTTAATAATTAACAAATCGAGTTGATTTTCGATTGTGAATGAAACTAATTAAAAACTAATTGTTAATGCAATAAATAAAGTAATTGCAGCGAGCGGTAGTAGCCCAATAGGAAAACGGTCGCATTGCGTATTACTTCGAATTATAAGTAAAGTTAATATTATGTAAATATGTATATAGCAATACCTCTTGTTAACGGTGAAAACGTCTTGATGAAAGCTGAATATCGAAAAAGGTTCAACCATTGAAAAATGTGTGTCTCTTTAGAAAAGGCATGTGCTCATCAGTGGGACATATAAAGAGTTGATGATAATTAATTTTCTATTTCATATACGCTCTTATTATTTGTGAATAAAGTATATTGATTTATCACTCTTAGAAAAGTGTGAATTTCAGTTGTTGGTTCAGTGTTGCAGCTTTATCTACACCGACTAACGATGACTCGTTACAACATTGGACGTGTACGAGTCATCGTTACGTACGCGTAACGATGACTCGTACACGTCCAGGCAATTACAGTTTATAATTATTACAGACGCTATGCCAACTAAGCCACGGGACGTACTAGCGGGCCTTACAAATTTTTCTATATGCTTGTTGCAGATCTTTGCTTTTTTAGTTTTTTTATCGACTTTTTGTCATAGCGCCATCTGTGAGAAATCTATATCTTCACT